TGGAATTTCAGTAATCTAGGTCTTTTAAAAATTAAATTCTCTGTAGCAGCACAGGTCCGGAATTGTGCCCGGTATATAGCAATAGGCGCTCCCCCTATTACATAGGACTCATAACATAAATAGTGATAAGTGGGTGGTACACATATGCATCCCCATCATATAGATGGTTGGCAGGCCACAACTGTGCGCTTCTCACGTAGGCAAAACTGGAATGATCTGTCATCGGCGGTATTTCCGAACCGATACGACCTTCAAGCCTTCAAGAAAAGAGCGTACTTCTTTTTAGAAGGCCGGCAACGCACCTGTGACTCCTCTGGTGTTGCGGGTGTCCATGGGCAGCGCTGATCGCTTACCATCAGGTGACCCGTCTGTTCGTTTGACTCCTATTTCATAAAAAAAAACATTGTACAGTGGCCTTAAGTGCCGTAATGTACACTTCTGCCAACCCCTTCGAGGATAAAAGGCGTGATGTCATGTCGTTATGTTAGAACAAAGTTTAATTTCGGTGTCATTCTAATATTTGTTATGGTTTTTTTTAAATTAATTTTAATGTCATTTTTAATTTACTTGAATCATTATAAACAGAAGATATCTTTTTTTAAGGGGGGAAAATCATCGAATGGTTGCTACCGACTGGGTGAGGCGGGAGGGAGTGTCAAAATCTTACTGACTAAAAACCACCCCGTTCCTTCTCCTGCACGTCGAGCCGGAGCCCCGGTTACCCGTTAGGTTCTCCGCGACAAAACAGTAGATAATATGCTAGTAACTTAGCTAGAGAAGATAGTCATATCTACATTCTTTGTAGTATATACTACACAGTCTACATGAAAAACTTCACAAGCGTTTTTCCAAGAACGTTTACGTAAACGTTTTCGTCAACATGTACCCCATCATCTTCGTTTGTAACATACTTACACAAAACACATTTTGATTACATAATGCCGAAACTACTGACTGATCTCTACAGTTCAAAAGAACAGTTATGTCTAAAGTATTGTTTGAGTACTTCCATTTCCCAGAGGACACTGATATTACGTTCTCAAACTTGTTCCACTCTCAAGATAAAAAACTCTATTCTTATCAAAGAAAACTTCACAAAACTTCAAAGCTTTTTCTTGATATATTTTCTCATCATTTTACGCAATAGTTTCATAAATCTTTTTTTGCTGATAATAAGAATTGTCAAAGAAAAACTTTATAAGACACCAATTATGAGGCCTGACAATTTTCGCTTTCATAGGGAAACTTTTGCGCTATCTTTTTGAAGAATAATTCTGTTTTTTCTGCAATTTATTTGGATTAGACAAATCAAGGACAATTGCTAAGAGTATTTTTGCTGTTGGAAACATAAAATCAAATAAAACCACCATTCACTTCTTTAACATTATTGTATTTAACTAAGTGCTGAATAAATAAGTCTTAAATAACTTAAAAATAAATTACAATACAATTAAAATAAAGTCGACGGGCTCGCGCATTTCAAAAATTAAGTTTTCAGTCTTTAAGGTCGGGAGTTGCAATGTCTTAAAATCTGGACGAGACAAGGCCAAATTGAAGTGAAAAGAATAATTTCCATGTCCAGGAAATTAAAACATTGCTATTGGTTTTTTAAGCTAAATGCCAGACTGCCACGATTATCACAAAACTCGGATCAAGCCACGTGACAGAATGGCATTTAGCTTGGCGTTATATTTGGCATTTAAATCGCCACTTGATCCATGTGTGTGTCCAATTTTGTTTACTGAGACGGCGGCATTGTGATGGGGGGACCGTACATCTGTGGCATTACGAACATGGGCATGGTCATAGTCTGGGCTGGATTCAATGGCGATGGCGGTAGGCCGAAAAGGATTCTGAAGTAGCGCGCGACTGTCCATAAAACATTGGACGTCTCCGGAAGCCTATAACATAATGATTGTGGTTATATATAACATAACAGTGCAAATATCAATTCAAATTCTAGTTTTCTATATATTTGAGAGTGCTCAGTTTTTGAAATTGTGGCAGAAAGAAGAACATTTGGAACTGAAGATGATAATAATGATCGACAATGATAATAGTAATAATTATATTCCAGAAACTGAGCAGAAATCAGAAACCGACTCGATTTTGGGACAATTTATAAAAACAGAGGTATATCGAGTTAATTTCAATGTTATACAAAAAATAATTCTCATTGATATTTACAGCAAAACAACCCTATTACAAATCTATAATATCAGTGGGATAACTTCTATAGTACATCCTGAAATAGACACCGTCACCAAAATTATATTACTTACAATAAATGCTTCTATAAATGCAAATAACTTAGACCCTACAATTCCTTTACAATTTCAAGGTTTATCAGTTGTAGTGTTTAGTTCTTTATTTTCGACAACTTGTGTGCAATTACGAGTAACCTTTGTTTGAGTTTGTAATTTATTAACAGTTTTCCTTCTACTCTTTTTCTTTCTTCTTCTTACAACGCGTTCGTCTTTCAGAAAATGATTTTCTAGAGCCTCATTAACTCCAAGGAGACCATCAAATAAGTCTAAAGTCATCATCATTACTCTATAAGCTGCTGTATAAAACCCTGGCTCTTCAGATTTCAATGATTGATCAATAACAGACTTTGTATATTCGTCTGACTGTTGTATCATACTTCCTATGGGGTCGGTTGCAAAAAAGAATTTTAGAAAATCAAAGAAACTTCGACCAGCACTGTAGACATTTTCGTAAAATGTACTCGACGTGGCGTTTTGATAACTTATATCACCACCTAAGCTTCTCTTTGACCTAACTCGACGTTTCTTAGTCTGTTTTCTACGAAACCTTCTCCTAATAGGTTTTTCTGTTTCATCCTCTAGTAATGTTTTATTAAACACAACTATAGGTTTCCAATTAGAATTGCTAACGGGTGTTGTGTTAATGACCTCAGTAGTAGTAACTTCCTTATACGGCATATTTCTGTACGGCATTAGTCTACTATTGTTAGGCTTATAAAAAGTATTTGGATTTACAAAATATTTAACCCTAGGATAAAAATAAGTGTTAGGATAATTAAACTTATACTTTTTAGTTTTAATATAATCGTGCAAATCTTTGTTTTGCTTCAACCTATCTAACGTTACTTTAAGATCTGCATATTTCTTTGGCCGATGCCTATTCTTTCTATAAGACATTTTCCTCTGAGCTATAGTCCTAGGCTGGGGGACCAATATCTGTCTAGGTTTTTTCACAATCTCCAACTCATCCAGATCATCGTCGACAGGTTCAACGCTTTTCGCTTTGGAAACGTCAGAGCTGAGACCTCGGAAGGTGGCGGGCATGGCGCCGTAGAATGCGTTCGCGATGGGGTCTACAATGTACTTGATGCCGTCGATGATCGGTTCGAGAAATTTGAGCAGTTTCGACTTACCGTCCCATCTCTCAGCCGCTCTCGTAGAGTTAACGAGCATTGTGGGCGCCTGTTGCGACTGCTGAGCGCTCGCGTCGCTCTGGTGTATTATTTCATTGGTCTGCCCATGGGCACCCATCGCGGTGGGGCTATACATCTCCGGTGACGCGAATTGTGGGCTCACTCCGCTAACGGAGTATGCGTGCGAGGAGGCGCTCGGAAAATCGATCGGATATTGCGAGTAAAGATATGGGTGGTTTTGTAAACCGACGCTGGAATAAACAATTTCACATTGTTATCGATTGCTCCGGCGATTTATTCCATATTTATTTTGTAAAGAGTTTGCGCACAATGTATTTCGTGTCATTTTTTATGTCACTCAAGTCAGTGTTTTTTATTAAGTCGTCAGTTTATAACTATGATTGACGCACGTTTAAATATTTTTATCGAAAATTTCACAATGCTTGAATTTTGTATTACAGAATTTTTATTAAAAACAAAAGTCAGTTTATTTTTTCTTTTTTTCAGCCTTTTGTTTGTAATTTAATGAAATCTCTATCTGAACTCGACTCAGTACAATAACTGCGTAATTAATTAACATAGAAAGTGGAGCGTATTAGTGAAATTATTTGCTGAAAATGCAGCACCTAGTAATTAGTTGCGTCTCACATTTAGCGGATGTCAGTCATCGGATATTACTTGGAATTCGAGAGCAACACGAATTCATTAATTAAATTCACTGTTAAATTAGTTGTCAGTCATATTCCAGCAACGGTTTCGTTAAGTTCGTAGAAACTATCGTCAAGTCCACATGTAATTAATTAATTCAGTCACTAAAAGAATAATTTCGTCACAAAAGTCATAATATCGGATGAATCGTAATAGGATAGATCGATGTCCGTTTTCACTACTACCCTTACAGTTTAAGAAACACCTAAGTTAAGATGCCTGTTATCAGTATTTTGGTTTTCACCGACCGATAAGTGACACCTGGCAGCATAAGTAAAATGTTAGGTGCGATATAACGCTAAGTAATCCTTAGTTATGAGATGGTTTAAGGGTGGGCAGTGAAAACGATTATTTACCAGAATCGAGTATTTTTGCTGCCT